GGTCCCTGGTCTGTGGTTCCTGGTCCCTGGTTTCTGGTCTCTAGTCTCTTCAGGTCCAGGTTCATCATGTGGCTGAATCCTGTTTCCTGGTTACCGCTCCACTCAGGAACATGTGACCCGACCTCTGACCTTTCAGAAAGCAGCTCATTGGTTTTTAATCTGAATGTGTTTCCTGAACAGGAAGTGCATCTGCTAGATCTCTTCAAAATAAAATACACTACTCAAAAAAATAAAGGGAACACTCAAATAAGACATCCTAGATCTGAATGAATGAAATAAATATGAAAATAATTTCCACCTGTTTTCTGTTCCTGCAGTGGCTGCAGTTCGGTATTGTAAAGCCACTATATTGTTCAACTAGCTTCAGTTTTCTTTCCTTTGTTGCGGTTCATTAGCTTAGCTCTTAGCTTGACGCGTTTCTGTTCCACAGTTTGCTCTTGTGCGTCTCTTCGTGAATTCAAGAATCACTTACAAAAATCCACACAAAGTCTGACGAACGACGAACTTTACTTTTCTTTGAGAGGATGATACAGAGTAGGATTCCTTAATCTCACACAGCATTCCGCATTTAACGGTCAAAAAACTGTAGAACCAGTGAAACACAACATAACACATTCCCATTTCTTTCTGCTCTCTAACACACAAAAAGCACTTATTTACGTATTTTCACTTTCGTGCATTTCTACCAAAACATAATAAAATGTAAACTTACAAATAAGAAAATATCTAAATATGCAAAAAGCATTCAGTCATGAACAATGTCACAGACTGACGTTTTTGGCTCTTACGTTTCCTTTTGCACAACAGCAGGTGATATTGATTATCAATCAGTGATGCTTTCTAAGTGGACAGTTTGATTTCACACAAGTTTGATTTACTGGAGTTATGTTGTGTTGTCTGACTGTTCCCTTTATTTTTTTCAGCAGTATATAATCAGCAACAGCCTGGAGGCTGAATGTGACTCAGCAGGTTGTGGGTTCAAATCCCGACCTTGACATGCGCATATCCGGGTTATGTACGGGTCCACAAGTGGTTCCGAGAGCGGAGTCCGCCCTCCCATGCTCATTTCCGGTGCTCTTATTGTGACAGTCGGACTTTTATTTTGAAAGGCCGGGGTGGCGGCGGCTCATTCTGGGTCAGAGCAGCTGGAAGTTCGGATAACATGGCGGGTCGGGACCGGATCGTTCACCTTCTCAGACAGCTGGAGCGCGCGGCGTAAGTCCGAACCGGTCTGGTTCCCTGCCCGGTTGGGTCGGACTTTGCGGTTCGGATGAATGTTGGTTTTTCTCGACAGCTCGGTTTGGTCCAAAAAGGTTCTGGTTCTGCAGTGGTTCGGCTCAAAGAAACGGTGTTTAATGGGTTCTACGTCACTGATCAAAGGTCCAACAGGTCAGAGTCCGAATTGGACCGGACCGGGCCGGCCGGACCTGGTCGAACCCAGACTGGTTTGGCCGTTCCAGTTCGGACTCTGACCTGTTGGACCTTTGATCAGTGACGTAGAACAGGCTAGGTTCCTGTTCCGGTTCCGGTCCGGGTCCCGGTTAGGTTCCCGGTCCGGTTCGGTGGTTCCTTGTCTTGATTCTGTGATTTCCTGTTCTGTTTGTAAAAACTTGAAGCGACTCGATCCGTTGATCTGTCAGTTACTGGATGGGTCCAGAACCAGAACCAGAACCCGACCCTGTCTCGGGGTTCCTTTTGACCCTACTGAGCATGCTCCGTGTTGACAGGTGCAGATGCCCCGCCCACTCCCACACCTTCCATCAAGGTAGGTTCCCATTGGTCCGCATGTTGACCAGACCCAGCTGGGCCCGGTCCAGCAGAACCTCCCTGTTCTGATCCGTGTGTGTGTGTGTGTGTGTGTGTGTGTGTGTGTGTGTGTGTGTGTGTGTGTGTGTGTGTGTAGGAGCGGCAGCGGGTGGTGGCAGGAAGACGGACTACGCCTTCGAGGTAACCTGGACTGGACCCGTCCGGTTCTGAATGGACCGGGTTCTGAATGGACCGGGTTCTGAATGGACCGGGTTCTGAATGGACCGGGTTCTGAATGGACCCTTGTTTCCAGATGGCGAGCTCCAACATCCGGTACGGATCCGGGGTCAGCGCTGAGGTCGGCATGGTAACCACCTTCTTCTTCATCATCATCATCACAGCGAGCCGAAGACAGACCAGAACCAGAACCAGAACCAGGCTGAATGTCCAGAAGGAGGAACAAATCTGTTCATGAAAAAAACTTCAGATTTTTTTATTTTAGATTTAAAAAACATCAAAAAAATCAAACTAAATGCAACATAAAGAATCTAAATGGATTTCTGGTTTCCTTACTAAAGAAGTCCGGCCAGAACCAGAACCAGGTCAAGACCTGGTTGACCTCTCAGGCTCCGGTCTCACCTGGGATCCGCCTCCAGGTTTCACATGCCGGTCCATTTGCAGGACCTCCAGAACCTGGGAGCCCAGAATGTGTGTGTGATGACGGACCGGACCCTGACCCGCCTGCCGCCCGTCCAGGCCGTCCTGGAGTCCCTGGTGAAGAACCGGGTCCATTTCCAGGTGTTCAACGATGTCCGGGTGGAGCCCACCGACTCCAGGTGAGACGCTAACAGCTGCTAGTAGCAGATGCTAACAGCTGCTAGCAGCGGATGCTAACAGCTGCTAACAGGCGGAGCTTCTGCTCCCAGTTTTAAAGAAGCAATCTCGTTTGCGAGAAGGGATCGTTTGACGTGTTCGTGGCGGTGGCGGCGGCTCCGTCATCGACACCTGTAAAGCCGCCAACCTGTACTCCTGCCATCCTGATGCCGACTTCCTGGACTTTGTCAACGCTCCGATAGGGAAAGGCAGGCCGGTGACCAGAGCCCTGAAGCCGCTCACAGGTCGGCCTCGCCGCTTCTGGGTCGCGAGGTTCCGGTAACCGACCGGCTCACCGCTCTGTTTTTCCTCTCCAGTTCCAACGACCGCAGGCACCGGCAGCGAGACCACCGGGGTCGCCATCTTCGACTATGAGCCTCTGAAGGCCAAAACAGGTGACAGCCATCAGAACCTCGTGCGATTGGCTGTCTCTGAGCCGTGATTGGCTGTTTCTGTCCAGGTATCGCCAGCAGAGCGCTCCGCCCCACACTGGGCATCGTGGACCCGCTGCACACTCTGAGCATGCCCGAACGAGTCGCCGCCAACAGCGGCTTCGACGTGTGGTGAGGTCAGATCTGGTTTGGGCGGGTCTTACCGGAGTTACCGGGTTCTGATGGGTGTCGTCTCTCCAACAGCCACGCTCTGGAGTCCTACACCGCCCTACCCTACAGCCAGAGGGCGCCCTGCCCCACCAATCCCATCAACCGGCCGCCTACCAGGGCAGCCAACCCCATCAGCGACGTCTGGTCCCGCCACGCCCTCAGGGTGGTCTCCAAGTACATGAAGCGGTAAACGGACCGGAACCTTCCTGAAGTTTTCCTGAAGCTTCACTCAAACTCTTCAACCGAAACGTTTCTGTTGAGATTTGACCTTTAACCTCAAAGTCCAGAGGAAGTTTCCCTGCTGTTCTGCATCCAGGTAGTGCAGCTCCGGTTTCTGTTCAGGGCGGTGCGGGACCCGGAGGACTTGGAGGCTCGCTCCAGCATGCACCTGGCCAGCGTGTTCGCTGGGATCGGCTTCGGGAACGCTGGAGTCCATCTGTGGTGAGCTGAAAGCCGTTGCCGCCCTGAACGCCGCCCTGAACGCCGCCGTCGCATTCAACCTGCCTGTGTTTTTGTCTCGGCAGCCATGGGATGTCCTACCCCATCGCTGGGAATGTGAAAACTCATGCAGCCAGGGGCTACAGCGTGGAGCACCCCCTGGTGGTGAGACACGGAACCTAAATGATTCCTGATGGCCCGCCGGCCTGCCGCTCTCTTCAACGGCTCTGTGTCTCTGCAGCCTCATGGACTCTCCGTCGTTCTGACGGCGCCGGCCGTCTTCAGCTTCACTGCAGCCATGTGTCCAGAGCGCCACCTGGAGGCCGCTGAGATCCTGGGTAGGGAGCGGGGCCCTTGACCCACAGTAAGGATCAGAGGTTAAAACCTCAGTGGTGCGTTCAGGCGTCTCTCTTTCTCTGCGGTGCGTTCAGGTGCAGATGTGCGGCAGGTGAAGCATGCGGACGCCGGCGCCGTTCTGGCTGACACGCTGCGCCGCTTCCTGTTTGACCTTCAGGTGGAGGACGGACTCGGCGCCGTCGGATACGATAAGGACGACATTCCGGCTCTGGTGAAAGGAACGCTGCCTCAGGTGAGCTGCTCACCTGCAGCTCCAGCTGTTTTGTGGCGTCTTTACATCACTTCCTGTTCCTGTTGCAGGAACGCGTGACCAAACTGTCTCCGCGGGCGCACACCGAGGAGGACCTGAGCCGCCTGTTTGAGACCTCCATGAAGCTGTACTGAGCCGCCTGCAGCCACCAGGGGGCTCCACTGCCATCCTGCAGTTAATTAATTAGCATTTGACCGGGTCATGAACCGGGTCAGAACCGGTCTCTAAAGAATTGTGATTTAAAGCTTCATGGATAACAGATCCAGAACATGAAGTTCTGAAGGAATCAAGTGATGATTTGCTGAGTCAGAACCGGATCGGATCAGGACCGGTCTCTATTGAATCATGTTTTAATCTTCAGTGACGTATTCATGAAAAACAGAACCTGAAGTTCTGAAGGAATCTTGTATTGCACCGGGTCAGATCAGAACTGGCTGGTTTTGTAATTTTAACGTTTTGATCCGAATAAAATTGTCTGAATCTGCTTCCTGTCTGGTTCTTTAATCTAAGTTTAATCCCAGTTGTTGATGGAGCTGAAAACCTTCAGATTATGAATCCATCCAGGTTTCAGGATAATTCAGGTTCCGGTTCTGGAAGCAGTGGACAGGATTGGGTTCTGGCTGTGAAGCCTGATTCGAGGGACAGAGTTCTGGGAACACCCTAATCCGCCTTAATCTGATCCAGGAACAGTCGTTGCATAAACCTGATCTCAGAGTGACCCTGAACGCATCACAGACTGAACTCACCTGCAGGACGCTGAAACGGACCGCTGGAATCCGACCCATCAGGGAATAATCTGGGAACAAATCAGGAGAACCCGGTCAGTTCACCTGCAGGACGATCAGGCGCTTTACAAGCTGCGTGTGTTTGTGTGTGTTTGTGTGTTTGTGTGTAAATACCTGAGCAGGTATTTCAAGACTCTCGGTCAGAAGCAGCTGCATCATGCAGCAGATCTACTCACAGCGAGACGAGCAGCTTGAGGTTTTCACCACCATCTTCTCTCCACAGGGTGAGCGCACACACACACACACACACACACACACACACACACACACACACACACACACACACACACACACACACACTGCGCCTTCTGGTTCTCATGGTTCTGATGGTTCTGGTGGCCATTATAATTTTTACTGCATCTTCAGAACTCCAGTAAGTCTCCAATAACCTGATGGCTGTAGGACTCTGGTTCTGGTTCTGGTTCTGGTGATCTGACCTCCAGAAGCTGCACAACTGTTCGGAACCTCCAGCGGTTCTGTCGTGAGAGTTACCGTTTCTCTGTGTACAAACAGAACTGGACCGCCCCAGTTCATTCTGCCTGGTTCTGATCAGATGGAGTGACGGACATTTTGAGTCGACCCTGAACTGGTTTCCATTCCCAGATCCCAGTTCACCTGGATTCCACTGTGTCCTCACAGCGCTACATAAACTGACACAAACACTCCAAGCTCTGATTGGCTGATGTACTCCAGCTCATTAACATCTGTTGGTCTCAGTTTGCAGGACAAGAGCAAGACATGTGGAGGGAGACAAGGTAACACACCTGGACACACTACCAACACACACCTGGAGACACTACCAACACACCTGGACACAATACCAACACACACCTGGAGACAATACCAACACACACCTGGAGACAATACCAACACACACCTGGAGACAATACCAACACACACCTGGAGACAATACCAACACATTACCAACACACACCTGGACACACTACCAACACACACCTGGACAATACCAACACACACCTGGACACACTACCAACACATTACCAACACACACCTGGACACTACCATCACACACCTGGACACACTACCAACACACACCTGGAGACACTACCAACACACCTGGACACTACCATCACACACCTGGAGACACTACCAACACACACCTGGAGACACTACCAACACACACCTGGACACTACCAACACACACCTGGAGACACTACCAACACACACCTGGACACACTACCAACACACACCTGGAGACACTACCAACACACACCTGGACACTACCATCACACACCTGGACACAATACCAACACACACCTGGAGACAATACCAACACACACCTGGACACACTGGCAGCAGTTTGAACTGTCTCAAGGTAATGAATTGTAGTGAATGTAACCAGGTGGTGTATGAGTTAAAAACTGCGTTTACGTGAAGTGGCTGTAAATCTCCACCCGTTTCTGGCCACCTGAATCCATCTATGGCCGGTTTCCACACGTTCTCTTCCACATCACAGCTGTCGATAGGCACCAGGTGTGGCGCCGAGCGAGGAGTTTGGGTCCGGGTCGTGACCGGTTGGATCTGTGGGATGAGCGCTGGTGCCTGGTTCTGGATCTTGGATATTTGTGCTGCTGTGAATTGATTTTTGATGTTGTGTGTAATGTTGGGGTCGTTTGTATTGTTGCTACTGTTTTTCCTGGCATGATTTCTAGTTGCCTTTTAGGATGCAACTAGTGTGGCTGATTAAGATACCAGATTTTCATTTGATCTTATATGTCTTAATTATTGTCGGCAGACACTTTACTGTCATGTTGGGGATCCCAGATTGCTGCTGTTACTGATTGTCTGGGTTAGTTGGCTAATTGGTGGCTCTCTGGAGCTGGAGTTGTAGCACCAGCGCTACAGAAGCAGAACTACAATCGATATTCTTTTTTGTTTATAATTTGGCTGACTAAATTATAAACTAAAGCTAATTAGCGTTGGTGTAATTTGAGATTTGCTTTTGTTTTTCCCATTAATTTGATTTGCAGTTGTTTTTGTTTTAAGTCTCAGATTGTGAGATTTATTGGGTTTAAATTAAATTAAAGTTTATTTTAATATGTAAAAGAATGTCAAAATAAAGTATTTTGAATACTTTTCTTTTTATAAAAGTTTCACACTGCAGCACCTTATTTGAAAGGGTGTGGTCGACATGGTGTGCACTTCCCATCCTCTTGGTAGACTGAGGGTGGCCTAGTCAAAGTCCTCCTTCCTGTCCTTCAGATGTGCGTTCATAGAAGAACTTATTGAGGCTGTTTATCATTAAACGAAGCACCGGGTTGGATGGACTGGCTGGAAACGTTCATAAACACTTTGGGAAGACATTAAAATATGAATGCATTTTACAGAAATGTTTAAAAATCACATTATACCGACTGCAATGAAACAAGAGATTATCATACGGAAACCAGACAAGAATTTATTAAGAATAGAACATTCAGATTATAAATTACAAACATACATATTTATCAAACATTTAAACATTATTACAGAATCACAATCTGGCTTCTTAAAAGTAAGGTCAATAGGTCAATCCACAAGAATATGAGACTGGTGATTGGATATGGGGACATGATCAATAATGATCAATAATGATGGCTTTATCTTTTCCTTGTGATGGATAGTGAGCTATTTCAAATAAATTTGTAGAATATTTAAAGTGAATTATTCAAAGTGAAGTTTCTAAATTAAGAATGCTGCAGATTGTTCCTGGATGTCTGTTTTGATTAGTATCGTTATATTTTTGTTTTGTTTAATGGTATTTGCACTTTAATGTAATGGAAGCTGGACATGCCTGTATATACATATTTACAATGATGTAAAGCTTATGATATCATGGAGACAACTGGATACCAGGCAGGATTTTAGAGACATGGTTGGGTTCATCAAGCAACGTGTCAAAATTTCATCAGTCCTTTTTTCGGAAATTACAGATCAGTACATCATCCATCAGTCGTCCAGGGCAACAACCTGGGATTCAGACCAAGGGGAACTGAGATTGGCTGAGGAGATCAGCAACATGCTGCCGCTACAGGAAGTGATGGTTGTTGAGATCTCACCCACTAGAACAATGCAAACAATTTAAAAGAAAACTTCACAAGAACAAAGTCTTTCTGTTGAAGAAAAGGATCATGTTTTGGCAGGAACTGTGAAGCACAATTAACTTGTGAAAGTTGGAATGAAAGTAATCCAACTTGCTACATATGAGAAGAGGACAATTTCTCTTGAGTCTGAAACAGGAATATTAGAATCCACATCAACTGTGAGCTTTAACCTTGCTCCCTGTCAAGGTTAAAGCAATGAAGGGACGACGTCATCCACACAGACGCCTTCTTGGATCCAAGCAGCACCAGAACATTTTGCTCTGAAAGGCTGATGCATCAGCTGAACCTCACTGGAAAGCCAAGCTAAAAGAAGTCCAGCATTTTCTCTGAGTGATCTTGAGGTGTCGAGTCTGGAGAGCAATACATTTATCATCTGCCAGAAGTTCTCACTCAGAGACCTTTCATAAAGTCACCATATTTATCAAGAGGCAGCAGCAGGGCTGAAAAGATGCAACTAAGCAGATTTAAAAGAACACAGAAAACTACAGAATGAGTTAAAAACTGAGCTGCACTGAAGGAAAATACAAGCTGAGAGAGAAAATCCTTCCTGAAGGTGAAAATATATCACAGATTTCAAAGGAAAATAAAAACAGGAGACTTCAGATAATATAGGAAATAGCGCCCCCTTCACTTCCGGAGTGCAATGGTCCCATTTCCAAATAAGGTAAGAGGCTGAGAGCGGTGTGCCCCGCCCTTCCTGTTGCTGCAGCAGGTAAACTTGCCATTTTAATTTCCACCCCTGGTTACATCATAATGACCCCTGACCTCTGGGTACTTAAAGCCTGCTGAGTAGATTAATCCTGTGATGACATGAAGACACGACCTCTGACCTCTGGGCTTCAGGTGCTTTCTGGAGGTTTTTAAGGTGGAATGAAGCAAAACAAAAAAAAAAAAAAAAAAAAAACAACAAAAAAAAAGAACTGATCAGATCAATTATTGGAATCAGATCAGAGAGAAAATTTGATCCAAAACTGGAGAAAGACCATTCAGTCACATCTGGTTCTGATCCGGTCCATCAGGTGGCGGTGGTGACCAACCAGTACCGGTCTCGTAGGCCCAGGGAACTGGACCTGGAACCCGGAGACCTGATCCAGGTTCTGGTTCAGGTCGACGAGTCCTGCTGGTTCGGACGCCTGGAGAACGGAGCGGAGGGATTCTTCCCATCGGCCTGCGTGGAGCTGATGCAGGTGCACACACACCTGGACACACACACACCTGGACACACACACACCTGGACACACACACACCTGGACACACACACACACATCTGGCAACACACACACCTGGACACACACACACACCCTGGACACACACACACACCTGGACACACACACCTGGACACACACACACCTGGACACACACACCTGGACACACACACACATCTGGAAACACACACACACCTGGACACACACACCTGGACACACACACACATCTGGCAACACACACACCTGGACACACACACACACGTGGACACACACACCTGGAAACACACACACACCTGGAAACACACACACCTGGAAACACACACACCTGGAAACACACACACACCTGGACACACACACACACATCTGGACACACACACACCTGGACACACACACATCTGGCAACACACACACACCTGGACACACACACACCTGGACACACACACACACCTGGAGACACACACACACACCTGGAAACACACACACACCACATTTGGAAACACACACACCTGGACACACACACACATCTGGACACACATCTGGAAACACACACACACCTGGACACACACACACACACTGGAAACACACACACACCTGGACACACACACCTGGACACACACACACCTGGAAACACACACACACCTGGACACACACACACCTGGAAACACACACACCTGGACACACACACACACCTGGACACACACACACCTGGACACACACACACACACATCTGGAAACACACACACACCTGGACACACACACACACACATCTGGAAACACACACACACCTGGACACACACACACACCTGGACACACACACACACACCTGGAAACACACACACACCTGGACACACACACACACCTGAACACACACACACCTGGAAACACACACACACCTGGACACACACACACACACCTGGAAACACACACACACCTGGACACACACACACCTGGACACACACACACCTGGAAACACACACACACCTGGACACACACACACACCTGGAAACACACACACACCTGGACACACACACACACCCTGGAAACACACACACACTGGACACACCACACCTGGAAACACACACACACCTGGAAACACACACACACCTGGAAACACACACACACCTGGACACACACACACCTGGACACACACACACACCTGGACACACACACACACCTGGAAACACACACACACCTGGACACACACACACACCTGGAAACACACACACACCTCGACACACACACACACCTGGACACACACACACACCTGGAAACACACACACACCTGGACACACACACTGGTAGTGTGTGGTTTCAGTGTGAACATCTGGACCACACCTGTTTACTTGTTAGTGTGTCGTTAGCAGCTGCAGCTCATTTGGCCATAGCAGAGCTAAGTCGATGTTAATCTCAGATTGGTTACTAAGAAACTCTAAAGCTCTTTAGTGGCTCTTAATCTGAAAAGAGCTGAATGGACGACGGCGGACAGATCGCTGAGCGGTGTCCTCGTGGAGGGAGGCCTGTCCTCTCCCTCTCCGTTCCCCGATCTGATCCAGACCTGCAGATCTACCAAAGATCCGGTTCCAAACGGGTCAGAACCAGGATCCACATCTTCACCTCGTTGTCAGAGGTTCTAGAGTTAATGGAGGTTCTGACCTCACAGCTCCGAGGGCTGACAGGAATGGAACCAGCAGGCTGCACACTGGGGACCTTCACTTCCTGCGGCTTTTCTTCCTTTCCCCCTCACTTCCTGTTCCCTCACTTTCTGTCTCTGATGAGGACAGGTCAGATCTGGGCCTCTGTGTGTCTGACCAGAACCTCAGCAGTGGATTGGCTGAGAGGTGATGATGTCACGATGTCTATGTTGCAGGGCGGAGCCTCATCTGGAGCCACTCCCACTCTGCTGAGGAGGGGTTCTGTTCCTGCTATGGTTCAGAGGCACAGCGCCCCCTGTGGCTGCAGCAGGTAATGATGACAGACACCCTACAACCGGTTCTGGCTAAATTCTGACCCGGTTCTATGCGGTTGCAGTGGCCGCAGCACGCCCCGGCTGCTGAGGAAGACCGACCCCCACACTGGCCCCGCCCAACGTGGCTCCGCCCCCTCCGGCTTCCTCTGCAGAGTCCTCACCCAGTCCAGGAGGAGGAGCTGCTGCCCCCTGCTGGGCCGGCCGCATGGCGACACCAGCGCCGACAACAACGCCTTCCAGCCCGACTAGACCAGAACCAGAACCAGGGGGGCTGACTCTGGGTCTGATCCTGGTACTGATATAGGAAGTTTGGCTCCGGTGGATTCTGACTCTTATCCAGAACTGAGAGTGTAGAAGGTCCAAGTCCAGCCGGGACCTGGACCGACCAGAGTCTGGTTCTGAAGAACCAGAGAGTTGCATTCATCAGAAGCGCTAACCGGACCTCGGTTCTGGAACAGAGGCATACGGAGAACAGTCCGAGTGTTTCCATCTGGTCCTTTATTCTCACAAGAAATTATCAGAGTCACAGCCAGACCCAGGTCCGGTCGGGTCCGATAGAAACTGGATTTTCACACAGAACTTCATCTGTACTGGTTCTGTCCTAAACAAAGTTCTCCATGTGTTCTAAACATTCAAATAAAGGTTTAGTCATGTAAATCATTCAATTGTGAATAATCTTGTCTGATTCAAGGTTCTGCTTCGATCGGTTCCGATCCAAAGTGCAAAGCTTAAAGATAAAAGTGCCGTCAAAATAAAGAAAGTCCCTGAAGTGGGTTGGTTCCGATCCGGTCCATGAGCAGCACTTCCCCGGATCACAACGACATCCAAGAAAGAAAGAACTGAATAAACGTCCAGAGATAAAATCGGATCTAAAGGCCAGTCGGTGACCCGGTCCGGGCCGACAATCAGAACCCCGGAACTCGTCTCCTTCTGGTCGGGTAAAACAAGAAAAGAAGAAAAAAAATTCCCCAAACAAAGAAATAAAACATCAGAGAGAACTGATGAGGTAGCAGGAAACGACAAAAAATCCTCTCTTCTGGTTGGCTGCCTCGATGACAAGGTGAGGAGGAGGAGTCATCTTCATCCCCCGAGGTGACGGTCACCTGCGGTTCTTCTCCACTCTGGAACACAAAAACATCGGATCATTATGCTCTTATTGCGGAACTGTTACTGGTCCCACCAGGTTCCACCTGGTTCCACCAGGTTTCACCAAGTTCCACCAGGTTCCACCTGGTCCCACCTGGTTCCACCTGGTCCCACCAGGTTCCACCAGGTTCCACCAGGTTCCACCAGGTTCCACCAGGTTCCACCAAGTTCCACCAGGTTCCACCTGGTCCCACCAGGTTCCACCAGGTCCCACCTGGTTCCACCAGGTCCCACCAGGTTCCACCAGGTCCCACCTGGTTCCACCAGGTCCCACCAGGTTCCACCAGGTCCCACCAGGTTCCACCTGGTTCCACCAGGTTCCACCTGGTTCCACCTGGTTCCACCTGGTCCCACCAGGTTCCACCTGGTCCCACCAGGTCCCACCTGGTCCCACCTGGTTCCACCTGGTTCCACCAGGTCCCACCAGGTTCCACCTGGTTCCACCTGGTTCCACCAGGTTCCACCAGGTCCCACCAGGTTCCACCAGGTTCCATCCCTTCACCGTTCATTCCTGTCCAGAATCGACGGTTCTGCTTCTGTGTGTGTTCACTCACCTGCCAGAGGTGAAGTGTCCAGAACTCTGAAGGTTCTGGTTGGTCCCCACCTGGATGCTCACCTGAAACCACAAGGACACGGAAGTATGACATCACAGCGTTTGGCCCACATTTAACCAGTCATGACATCACAGCTGTCTGTTGGCCCGGCTCACCGCGTGGTCTGACCGGGTCTGGACCTGGTTCTGTCACGGCGCCACATAGTGGCGGGCCTGTTGGGTCAGACTGGCCTGGTCCTCGGTTCTCCCGAACATCACCACCTGCAGCTCGCCGCTCACCTGCACACACAGAGCCTGAGAGGCAGAGCAGAACCCGGGTCTGGTTCTGAACCGGGCCTGGCCGTTACCTCGAACGGGTTGGTTCTGTTGGCCGGACACTCAGGCGAGCCCTGGTTGGGAGCGTGCTGCTGGGCCCACCACACCTCCAGCTGCTCGTCCAGCGGGAACATTCAAACTCATCGCAGGTCGGGACGAAGCGGGTCTGAGACGGAACCGCCGATCCGGACGGGCCCTGGACCTTCTGCTGGCCCGAACCGGAACCGACTTGGACCTGTGAGGCCGAGCCGGTCCCGTTCTGACTCTGTAGTATGGAGCTCAGCAGGCTCTCCCCGTGAACCTGGAGGTCAAAGGTCAGGAAGGTGAGGCTCTGATAAGGAGAACCTGGTTGTCAAGGTCATGAGAGGGACATTAATGAGGAGTTCTGGATCAGGTTTGGACCGGGTCGGGCCCGGCAGCAGGAAGAGGGTCAGGGAGGAAACCTAAACTCCACGACCAGGACACAGACAGCGGAACATTGGACCCACCAGAACCCTCTATTGGACCCACCGGAACCCACCCAGAACCCTCTATTGGACCCACCAGAACCCACCAGAACCCTCTATTGGACCCACCGGAACCCACCAGAACCCTCTATTGGACCCACCGGAACCCACCAGAACCCTCTATTGGACCCACCGGAACCCACCAGAACCCTCTATTGGACCCACCGGAACCCACCAGAACCCTCTATTGGACCCACCGGAACCCACCAGAACCCTCTATTGGACCCACCAGAACCCACCAGAACCCTCTATTGGACCCGCTCAGAGCGTTCTCTGTCAGGCTGACCTCAGAGCTGCAGCTGGACTGCTGGCTGTCAGGGTCACTGCTCCTCTCCTCCTGTCAGGTTCATCATCAGTCTGGAGCAGGCTGCCACCTGGGGAACACACACACACACACACACACACACACACACACACACACACACACACACACACACACCACACACACACACACACACACACACACACACACACACATGGCTCAGCCTGAGCTCCTGCTTTCGGCCGGTTGGTGGTGGTCGGATGGACTCACCTCGTCCTGGCAGTCGGGCACCTTGAGCGGTGTGGGCGTCTCCGGAGCCGAGGGGAACAGTGCTCTGATCTGCTCTGTCCTGAACGGACAAATGAGGAGTTAGGGTCAGGGGTCACAAGGGCTCAAAGTGAAAAAGGCCGGAGCGGACCTGGAGCCGAGGCTGCAGTGGACGCAGCAGACGTTCTGGTGTTTGAGGGAGCAGAGCGGCGTGGAGGTGAGCGGCGGGCGCTGGAAGCTCAGCTCCTCTGCAGCACTCAGGCTGAAGACCTGGGACAGGTAGACACTGAGATGGCCGGCCTGAAGGACACCTGCTGGACATGTCTCTGTCTGTCTCTCTGTGGTTCTACCTCCGCTGGGGAGAAGACTGCTGCCTCCATCATACTGCTCCTCTCCCAGGATGAGGACGAGTCCAAGAAGGACGCTCCTTCATCCGTCTTCATCAGCTGCTCCTTAACACCTGGAACCTGCACAAGACAGCAACTGTCTCACCTGTCCTCAGGAAGCCCGGGACCGGCCTTGCCACATCGCCTTACGTAGCTCCTGCTCAGGTCGATGACGGACGGCGAGTCCTCTCTGAGCAGCGGCGCCTCTGGAGAAGGGTGTGATGTCATTTCCTGGTAGCTCCAAGCCTCCAGGTTCTGGGACGAGCAGGACTTCTGTTGGGGACAGAGACAAACATGGGCCTGGTCCCAGAGGACAGACAGGGGCAGGGTCCAGGGAACGGATTTACCATCTCCATTAGCTCGGTGGACGCGCCCTGCTTGCAGCCTGAGCAGGAAGTGGGGGCCCAGGTGGAACACAGGTGGGTGGAGCTTCCATGCGGTCTGCAGGTGCTCTGATTGGAGGAGAAGCTGGACTCATCTTTGATGGTGGACAGACTGTCAGCCTGCAAGGACACAGATCAGAGTCAGCATCCTGACCAACTAGACCAGGTGTGTCAAACTCATTTTTGTTTTGGGCCAAATCAATATCATGAAAGCTCTTAAAGGGCCGGTTGTGCCAGAATGTGTTGATAAAACCTGTTCACAAATTGTTAATATGTCAATAAATTCTTAAAATTACATAATATTTCTGAACATCTTTTCAGTGCATTCAGAAACTAATAATAAATGCGACTGTTTATTTACTCGCTGTATAAATCATGGACTAAAATCATACATCAACTAAATTCTCAAGAAACTGGAGGCACTGATTGATATAAATTGGCAGTAAACAGATAAAAACTGCATTGATATGATTGATAATATAATATTTAATCACACTTAGTGTTTAGTATAGTCTGTGGAGGGCCACATAAAAAGCTTCCGCGGGCCGGATTTGGCCCCCGGGCCTTGAGTTTGACACATGTGATGTAACCTACTGGCTGGGGACGGACCTTAGACTGGGCTCTGCGGGACGTGTTTCCTCGTCCCAGGTCTGGAGGCGGAGCTTGAGCCGTGCAGCTGCAGGAAGTGCAGGTAACCCTCCTTCTCCACTTTCCGCTTCAAGGTGGAGTTCCAGTGATTCTTTATGGAGTTGTCTGTTCTGGAAGACACGGCAGAGGAGACGCACTAGAGGCTGCAAACAGGTCAACACACCTGCAGACAGGTCATAACCTGTAGACAGGTCAACACACCTGGATAGGTCAGGGTTAGGGTTAGGGTAGTGGCATTGGTCAACACACCTGGCATAGGTCAACGCACCTGGATAGGTCAACGCACCTGGATAGGTCAACGCATCTGGCATAGGTCAACGCATCTGGCATAGGTCAACGCACCTGGATAGGTCAACGCATCTGGCATAGGTCAACGCACCTGACATAGGTCAACGCACCTGGCATAGGTCAACGCTCCTGACATAGGACAACCACCTGTCATAGGTCAACCCACCTGGCAAAGGTCAACGCATCTGGCATAGGTCAACGCACCTGACATAGGACAACGCATCTGGCATAGGTCAACGCACCTGGCATAGAACAACCCACCTGACATAGGACAACGCACCTGACATAGAACAACGCATCTGACATAGGTCAACACACCTGACATAGGTCAACGCACCTGGCATAGGTCAACCCACCTGACATAGGACAACGCACCTGACATAGAACAACGCATCTGACATAGGTCAACACCTGACATAGGTCAACGCACCTGACATAGGACAACGCACCTGTCATAGGTCAACGCACCTGCATAGGTCAACACACCTGACATAGGACAACGCATCTGGCATAGGTCAACGCACCTGGATAGGTCAACGCACCTGGCATAGAACAACCCACCTGACATAGGACAACGCACCTGACATAGAACAACGCATCTGACATAGGTCAACACACCTGACATAGGTCAACACACCTGACATAGGACAACGCATCTGACATAGGACAACGCACCTGGCATAGAACAACGCATCTGACATAGGACAACGCACCTGACATAGGTCAACGCACCTGGCATAGGTCAACGCACCTGGCATAGGTCAACGCACCTGGATAGGTCAACGCACCTGGCATAGGACAACGCACCTGACATAGGTCAACGCACCTGACATAGGTCAACGCACCTGACATAGGACAACGCACCTGACATAGGACAACCCACCTGACATAGGACAACGCACCTGACATAGGTCAACGCACCTGACATAGGTCAACGCACCTGACATAGGTCAACGCACCTGACATAGGACAACGCACCTGACATAGGACAACGCACCTGACATAGGTCAACGCACCTGGCATTGAACAACGCACCTGGCATAGGTCAACGCACCTGACATAGGTCAACGCACCTGACATAGGACAACGCACCTGACATAGGTCAACGCACCTGGCATAGGTCAACGCACCTGGCATTGAACAACGCACCTGGCATAGGTCAAGCACCTGACATAGGTCAACGCACCTGACATAGGACAACGCCTGGCATAGGTCAAAGCACCTGACATAGGACAACGCACCTGACATAGGTCAACGCACCTGACATAGGTCAACGCACCTGACATAGGTCAACGCACCTGGCATAGAACAACGCACCTGACATAGAACAACGCACCTGACATAGGTCAACGCACCTGACATAGGTCAACGCACCTGACATAGGACAACGCACCTGACATAGGACAACGCACCTGACATAGGACAACGCACCTGACATAGGACAACGCACCTGACATAGGACAACGCACCTGGCATAGGTCAAAGCACCTGACATAGGTCAACGCACCTGGCATAGGACAACGCACCTGACATAGGACAACGCACCTGACATAGGACAACGCACCTGACATGGACAACGCACCTGACATAGGACAACGCACCTGACATAGGTCAACGCACCTGGCATAGGACAACGCACCTGACATAGGACAACGCACCTGACATAGGACAACGCACCTGACATAGGACAACGCACCTGACATAGGACAACGCACCTGACATAGGACAACGCACCTGGCATAGGTCAACGCACCTGACATAGGACAACGCACCTGACATAGGACAACGCACCTGACATAGGACAACGCACCTGACATAGGACAACGCACCTGACATAGGACAACGCACCTGACATAGGACAACGCACCTGACATAGGACAACGCACCTGACATAGGACAACGCACCTGACATAGGACAACGCACCTGGCATAGGTCAACGCACCTGACATAGGACAACGCACCTGACATAGGACAACGCACCTGGCATAGGTCAACGCACTTAGCATAGGTCAACGCATCTGGCATAGGTCAACACACCTGCAGCCAGGTGTAATGACTGGTCATCACACCTGGCATAGGTCAACACACCTGTACACATGTCAACGCACCTGACACAGATCAAGGCACCTGCAGTGTAAAAATGGTGAGAAAGGTCAAAAGTTTTCCATCCAGACTCAGACAGGTCATGGAGCAGGTTGGGTACCTGCCAGGTAGCAGCTTGGAGATGTCAGCCCAGCGGTTGCCTAGCAACCTGTGGGCCTGGCACACCACCCGGTCCTCCTCGGCCGTCCAGCTGCTCTTCTTCACCGCCGGGTTCAGGTGGTTGTGCCAGCGCTCTCGACACTGCTTCCCATTGCGAGTGTGGAGATGTTTGGCGATGAGCGACCAGCTTCACACCGTACTTCTGGACCAGCTCCATGACCTAAACATGAAGTGATATCAGATCCAGATGGGACGGGGGGGAGGGGGCATGGCACAGAACAGCAAGGGTTAACGGTCCTCACCCGCCGGTCCTCCTCCTGGGTCCATGGGCCTTTGACCAACTCTGGGTTCTTGATCTGCTGCCAGCGTCTCTGACACTGCACCTCTGACCTATGACCCTGAAAGAAGGAAAGAGAGAGCGCCACCCACTGGTCACCATCACAGAATTTGAAAACCAGATGTCTCACTGAGACACTCACCCTGAAGGACAACGCCACCGAGGACCAGCTGCTGGCTCCACGCTCCTTCACCAAGCGCCGCAGGAGCTCATCCTGAGGAAGAGCATCATCATCACCACAATCATCATCATCACGGCCACCATCATCACCATCACCACAATCACCATCACCACCACAATCACCATCATCATCCTTGCCTCCTCTTTGGTCCATCCAGGCTTCTGTAGAGATGCTTTGGAGAACCTTTTGACCCGTCTGGACCGACTCTTGGAACTGAAACACAAGAAGGGAGTCGAACAGCATCATCATGATCATCATCAGATGGAGATGCAGTGCACATGGAGATGACTAGCCATGGTGGGACTGGTGTGGGAGTGTTTCTCACCTGGTTCTGTGGCTCCAGCTGCTCATCTCTGCCTCTCAGATCAGGTTCAGCCGAACAAGCTGGCCTGATCATCTGCTGAACCTGCAGAACACCAGTTCAGAGATCCTGATTAAAACATTCTGATGAACCGAATCAGTTCAGATTGACTGAGGCAGTCAACCCGGATGCTGAAAAGAATGATTCCTGAACTGATTCGGTTCACTGGTAATTTTAGATAACTTTCAGCTCCTCATGAGCAGAACGGATTCATGGACCATGGTGGAACCGGTAACTTATCCGGTGTTCTGGCTCACATTTGACAGAAACTGTGTTCGGATCCGGGTTAAATTTAGCTTATATTTCATGGGCAGTGACGGATTTGTGAAATTGGCCCAGAAATTCGGATGGAAGTGGTTGAAACAGCGCAAGTTAGCCCGACCGGTTAGCTCGGAGTTAGCCGTTAATCTGGGCCGTTACAGTCCCGCAGACACCGATCAGACCACTACAGAAAACTTTAACGGGCCCGAACCTCTCCCATGGTCCGAGCCTGGTATGATCGAGCGACTGGTACCGGCCTGTTGCAGAGAACTTACCGGCAGAACCAACGGTCGGAGCGAAGCAGCACAGGGCTTCAACGGTTTGAGTTCGGCGCTGAACGGACGAACTCTGCGTTCTGATTGGACAGGACCGGGCCATGACGTCACAAGCAACTCTTACTACAGCTGACATTTTAGGAGAAGTTTTAAACCGAAAATCTTGACATTTCTGACATCTACCTGAAACTTTATGCTCAGGGTGAGATTTTAGTTCAAGTTGTTGAAATAAACTATAGAAAACTATTTATTCTGAATAATTAATCTGAGCTAGGTTAACAGAGACCATGTTGGAAATTCATAAACATCTCAACCAATGAGGACCAGAAATGAAATGGCGGAATTTCTGCAATAAAATGTACATTGATGATAATAAAAAAATTCAACACAAAAATATACAAACATCTAAAAGTGATGTTAAATAATCTGGATTATATTTCATCAAAGAAAATATTAATACACAATGTTAAACAAACATTGCCAAACCATTTATATTAACCATTCCAGGGATACATCAGAGTCAAACACTGATTTTATGAATATATATAAATTGTAATTGGTTAAAATGGCTGAGCCACACAATACTCAGTTTCCCTGTATCCTTTGCTGGATGACGCAGACGCAAAA